TAAGCGCAGTATTGAAAAAATCGTAAGTTAAGCGCAGTATTGAAAAAATCGTAAGTTAAGCGCAGTATTGAAAAAATCGTAAGTTAAGCGCAGTATTGAAAAAATTGCAAGTTTTTTTTTTTGAGATAAAATTGCATTTTTTTTTTATACTCAGTAAACCATAAATTCGTACTTTTAATTTTGATCATCAGTAAATCGAATATTTTACATATACCGCACACATAATTTTCAAATCCCTATCACATAATCCCCGTGTCCCTGCATGCCACCAGAAAGATGTTGGCTTGGATAGCTTAGCTTAGTTCAAAAAAGTCCTAGCAAAGCTATAACTAAGCCATAGTTTAAGCTATTGGCTACAATTAAAGCCATGATCAATAGTTATTCTTTTTTAAACTTTTAGATTGGCTTAACTCCAGCTTGGCTTCAAACTGTGGCTAAAGCTGGCTTCAAGTGAAGCTAATAACATCCCTAGAAAAATACCAATAAATTTCACGTACACACATCATTATTACTAGGGTTTGAATTTAAAAATTAGTGTCCTTCAAGAAAAACCTTCGATTAGTACGCGAAATGTGGTTTCACAAATTTTGAAAATAAGTAATGTTTTTTTTCAAAACGGACATTTTTATTACTATTGGCTAATTTGCTGAGAATATCTCACTACGTATGCAAAATTTTTAAGTTATATTTAGAAAAAAAATATAAATTCAGCAAAAACAACTTATATTTTGATAATAAAAAGCAACAAATAATTATTAGAATGTGCATTTAGAGAATTTAGGGAGATAAGGTCTATGTTATATTAGTTGGGCCTAAGAGAAGACATGCATTTAGGAAGGACTTTTGGGTATGACTGTACTAATTTGTTTTTTAATGAAAAATATAAAAATTCTATTCTTTATGCTATAAGTAAATTTAATAAAAATAAAGTAAAAACAAAAAAAAATTATATTAAATTGTAAAGACAAATAATTTTAAACAAAATTAGATAAAAAAAAAAATCAAGTTTATTTCAAATATATATATATTAGCCGGAAGAAAAAAAAATGATTCCATTAGAATTAGCTAAGTACGTACGTAAAACAAAAAGCTACGTATCAGCTATTAAATTACAAAATTAGCAACTAAATTACGTAAATATAGGTTTAGCTCGATAAATAGTATAAATATGTTTAGTTTGCTTTGTAATTGTGAATTTGCTTAAATTTATATTTTTTTGCAAATATGCTTGGTAAATCGAATGTGCCTTAAAATACAAGTAATTTAATATCTACGTATTTAAATAATGTATTAAAAAACTGTTTTGTAAACACTAGTATAAAAATTGTACGTACTTAATATCAAAGTTTTCATTTTCGTACGTACGACGTCTATAACTTGTGGAACCGTACGGTTACTATTCTACTGAATACCTGGTTAGCGATCTCCGAGTTTAGTAACATACGTACAAAACAAAATAATTGCCAAAAACTTACCTACTCTATGACATATGTAATGGTTCAGATAAATATGTTAAGTCCTGATCCATATCGATGTAACCGTACGTACTTATTTCTTATTAATTAAATCGAAATCGTACGTATGTGTAAAAGTTTAAAAGGGTATCTTTTCTCTTATTAATACTGCAATTATGAGTGGTAAGTTCTTAGAATTTTTTTTTTTTTTTTTGTTTCATTTTTATTATTGGTATATTTTAGCATATTCTATCATTTTTTTAATAATTATTAAAAATAAGTTCGAATTGTGTACTAAGTTTTTATATAAAAATAAAAACTTCATTGTTTTATTATAAGTCGAAAATTCTGAAAGTCCAATATCGCGTGCTTCTTTCGCATTATCGAAAAATAGGAAAAGGAGAAAAGATGGACTATCAATCGTAGGTCATAGGGGTGCTAGTGATTCTTGTCCGGAAAATTCGATAATGGCATTTAAGCGTGCCATCGCTGAAGGTGCTGATGCTATTGAATTTGGTGATTTTTCTTTTATTTTGAATCAAAAAATATTATAAAATTCCCTATTCAATTAATATATATATATATTTTTTTTTTTTTTTAAAAAAAAAAAAAAGATATTCATAAAACGTTGGATGGTGAAATTGTTATCTTACATGATCCGAGTTTGGAGCGCGTAACAGGGAGCAAAGGACAAGTAATGGATCGGAATTTTCATGGTGATATTGAACATTTAAGATCAAAAAAAGATCCTAATTGCCCTATTGCTTTATTTCAAGAGGTAGTGGATCTTATGTTGATGGAGGAAAATGTTCATATTTGGGCTGTGATAGACATTAAATTGTTAAACTCTTCCTCTATCTTTGCTGATATTGAAAAAATATTACGCTCCCGTAGCAATGATTTAAAAATTTTTTCAACTAGATTCATTTTAGGAATTTGGCATCCTAAATATTTACCTTTTGCCAAAGCTTATTTACCTGAACTTCCCGTCGCGTATATTGGAATTTCATTAATAATTGCGAGGGATCATTTTTCATCTGTTGATGCTTACAATTTATTGTATTCATCGCTAGCCTGGAGTAAAGAAGGTCGAAACTTTATTGAACAAGCACATCAAGCTGGAAAACCCGTTTTCGTATGGACAGTTAACAAGTTAGAAAATGCGAAAGAATGTCACAATATGCATGTAGATGCGCTCATGACGGACAAGCCAGGATATATGGTGGATTTTTTCAGTACCAATAACCCTGAAATTTTTGAATTGTCGAAATTCTCTTGGTGGTATCCGATGTGGTTTGTATCTATATGTAGATGTGCGTCGACCTGGGTTGCTCATGTTTCGAGCAGGTATAATCTATTAAAGCACGGACCCCTAGACAGAGTTTAGATTGTAATATCATGTGAGTGACGGAAAGGAAAACCTGTAAATTGTTTCACCTTATCGGATTCGGCCTGAAGAATCTGATTTCATGTGATTAGTTCAAAACATATTTGTCATGTCTTTTTAAGAGCCGTCAAATCATATAATTTCTTCGTAAAAAAAAAATGCTTTTTTCCGTTTGATGACCAAAGCACATCATAGACAAGTGACTAGAACGATTAACTTTATATGCATTTGGGATCAATTTATATGTTTTCCCTTTCCGTCTCTTATATTATATTTGAATGTTGCGGGGAAAAAACCTATAACTAATAATAATATTATTAAAAGTGCGGTTACAAGTCAACATTCATTTATTTACTAGATAGTCATTTTAATGATTTTTAATGATGTAATACGAGACAGATGAAAATTTGTATTATAGATCTAAACTTTATTATAAATTGATATAACACATGTACTATATGTTATATATTTATAAATCAAAAATTTAAATTATCCTAAAAACTATTTATTCAAAAATATATAGTATAATAGTTCAAATGAGTGATAGAAAGGGAAAACTTGTAAATTGATTAATTACTTTTCATCTTATCGACTCGGTCTCCAAAGAACCTAATCCTTTCTTGTTACCCGAGATCTTTTCGGTTTCGTCATGCAAATCACCTAATTCTGGAAACTACATCACTGCCTTAGGACTGAAGTAGCGTTTTGACCCAGGTGGGTCTTAGGTTGACCCGTGGGTTTATAGGGAGACATTTGTATGATTGGTTGATGTAAATCAATTGCCAGGATAACTTATTTATATAGTTTAAAGTACTTTTCGGAAATGTAACGTTTCACTAACAAAAAATCATTGTAAAACCCATTTCTAGCTTCTATATTCACTGTGCAAAAATAATCAAAAATAATCATTAACCCAAGAACGTCATTTAGAAACGGATGTTTTTACCATTTATTGATAATACTAGTTATACGTATTAACCATATATAAGTTCTAAATGCTGGATTGAGACGTTACATGTAAGATTTAACTTAAAGAATTTTATGCATACCATTTGACATGCTATTATACTGTAATAACAATAAGCTTGTACTAATGTTCATATTTTATGTAACCTGAATATCTTAGAATTAAAACATTAGTAACTGGGTTAAGTAGTAGGTCAATAAAGTGTATGAATATATGGGTAATATCATTTTATTAATTATATGGCTAAAGTTCATGTTACATCCCTAATAAAGGTCATGATGATAAAGATAAGACTAATTATTTTTCAAAATATATATAACGATAATAAATATAGTTTCGCTAATAATTTATTCGCATATTGAAATTTTTGATCAATTTGAGTTTGGGTTTATTAGTAATAAATATCAATTTACTACGTACGTATATTGCATATCTATCTATATGTTTTTAAATGTGACAAATTCTTTTTTTGCGTGTATTTATTAGTTTGTAAGCTGGCTATACCGAAATTAAATAGTAAATTTTTATACACTACATCTAGAGTATCCAGATCCGTGCAATTCAAAATGCATTTTTATGCGATATAAGAAATTCTGACTATGCAATATCAATGCAAATAAAAAATTGGAAAATATAAACAAATGGTGATTAAATTTTGTTTTAATATTAATCTTCAAAAGTGAAACCTAGTCGTATAATATTGGCATCTAGTAATATGCATTAATTTTTATTATATTGATATTAATCAATATTGGGGTAGATTGAAGAAGAGTTAACCTAGTGATGATCACAATATCACGTGACAATCATTCAGCCTAGATTAAGGTATAGTTTAGGCCATTTTATTTAATTCTGGTAAACAATAACATCATGATATGTTTATTATGTGATCATTGATCACTGGGTGACTTGCCCTAGGGCAACCCCTGTAGATCACTCACAAAAAATTTTCTGGTACGTGACTTAGCCACTTTACTAAATTTTGCAAGATACAATTAACGTTGAGGCTAACGTTAATGTCAACATTCACCTCAACATTCACCTCAACATTGACCTCAATGTTGACCTTAATGTTCACCTCAACGTTTACCTCAATGTTGACCTCAACATTGACATCAACATTTACTTCAATGTTCATCTCAAATGTTGATCTCAACATTGACCTCAACATTGATCTTAAGGATAGAGTGTACATAGATCATTTTTCATATGATATATATAGTAATTTTTTTTGTATAACAGATTACATAGTAAGCACAAATCTAATTGGATAATTACCTGTTTTAAAATATTTTTAGTATGTTTTTTTTGTGTAACTCTAAAAAATTTAAAATATCCTCAGAAACTTTATAATATATATATGTTCATTTTTAAAAATAATATAGGCTCCAAAAGTTTTACTACTACAAATAGAAGGTTTGATTTGAATATTACAGAATTTTGGTAAAATTTAACTGTAATTTTGAGAATTTTTACTAGTAATATAATTTAATTTATATATAAAATTCTGTTGTATCACTGAGATCATATAATAAATAATCAATATACACTCTATCCTTAACGTTTATCTTAACATTTACCTCAACGTTGACCTTAATGTTGATGTCAATATTGACGTTAATGTTGATATCAACATTACCTTAACATTTATCTTAACATTGATTTCAATATTAATCTCAATATTTACCTTAATGTTGATCTTAATATTGACTTCAATGTTGATATCAACATTCACCTCAACATTTATCTTAACATTCACTTCAATGTTGATCTCAACATTAATCTCAACATTGATCTCAATGTTGATCTTAATGTTGATTTCAACATTGATCTCAACATTGAATATTTATCTCAACATTGAACATTAACTTTAATGTTAATCTTAACGTTCATCTCAATGTTACTTTAACATTGACTTCAACGTTTATCTTAATATTGACCTCAATGTTTATCTCAATATTGACCTCAACATTAATCTCAACATTTACCTCAATGTTTATCTTAATGTTTACCTTATCAAAAAAATATTATACATTTTATATTTATTTAACTATTTTTAATAATTTTATTATTATTATTACAACCGCATACAAAATTATCAAATTTACAAAAGAATGATAAAAAATAATGAAAGAATAACAAAAACACAAAAAAAACATCAAAAGAAGTACTGAAAAAATATAAAAAAAAACCAAAAGAACAGCAAAAGAAGTACTAAGAAAACATCGAAAAATCACCAAAAGAATGATAAAAAAGTATCTAAAAAACATCAAGAAGTACTGAACAGACAATAAAAAAAAATATGAAAGAACATCAAAAAAAGCATTAAAAAAATATGAAAAAATACCAAAGAACATCAAAAGAAACAATGAAAAAGCACCAAGAAAATGGCAAAAAGTGCCAAAATAACAATAAAAAAAGTTCTGAAATAACATCAAAAAAAGCACCAAAAGAATGTCAAAAGAAGTACTAAAAAACTACTAAAAAAATACAAAAAAAGTACTGAAAAAACATTAAAAGAAGACCAAAAAAAATATCAAAAAACACCAAAAGAACAATAAAAAAAGAACAAAAGAACATCGAAAAAAGACACCAAAAGAACAACAAAAAAGATACTGAAAGAACGATAAAAAAAGCATAACAAAAAATACCAAAAGAATATCAAAAAACAATATAAAAAATATGTAAAAATCAATGAAAGAACATGTAAAAAGCACTAAAAAAATAAAAAATAAAATATACTAAAAGAACAATATAAAAAGCACTGAAAGAATGATGTAAAGAGTACTGAAAGAATATTATAAAGATTACCAAAGAACATTGTAAAGATTACTAAAAGAATGTCATAAAAAGCACCAAAAGAATATCATAAAAAGTACTGAAAAAATAAAAAAACATTTAGCTAATTGCATTTAATATTTATATAAAAAATGTATGATGTGGTATAAAATTGTAATAGTAAGGGCAGTGTTATTTATCACCTGATTATTTTTTATCAGAGGCTTACCCCTTTTCTCTCTTTTAATATAAAAAAAAATCAGGTTCTTATATATAATTTTAACTTTTTTTACCCTCTCTTTCTCTAAAAAATTACCTGATTTTTGTCACGTTCCTAATCACATGTTGGAAAAAATTTTGTGGGTTAGTTACTAGATATCTCTAGAGCATGCCAGGTTTACAAACACATGCCAGATCATGTGATTTTGTATATACTAATTATCATATGATATATAATATATATAAATTATTGAGATAGAATTTTTCTTAATTTGAAAACAAATTTTCTCTACAACTATCTGATAGAATTTGATAAAATTTTTTTAAAATCAAATCTACGAATTAGTAAAATTCATTTAAAAAAGATTTTATCAAATTCTGCCAGATAGATGTTGAGAAATTTTTGATCAAAGTTTGAAAAAATTTCTGCTACCTCTAAAGAAAATCATTATAGCAAAGCTTTTTTCAAACTTTAAGCAAAAATTTCTTGACAACTATCTAATAGAACTTAATAAAATTTTTTTAAAATAAAATTCTATAAACTAGCAAAATTCATTTAAAAAAGTTTTCATCAAATTCTGCCAGATAGGTGTTAAAAAATTTTTGTTCAAAGTTGAGAAAATTTTTGCCACTTCTAAAGAAAATCGTTATAGCAGAACTTTTTTTAAACTTTGAATAAAAATTTCTTAACAATTATCTAGCAGAATTAGATAAAAATTTTTTTAAATAAATTCTGCTAATTTATAAAATTTATTTTAAAAAAAATCTATCAAGTTTTATCAAATACTTGTTGAGAAATTTTTGCTCAAAGTTTGAAAAAAGCACTGCTATAGCAATTTTCTTTAGAGGTACAGTGGATTTCATCTAAAGCCATCACCTTTTAATTATAAAATTTTTTAAATTGTTATAACTTTTTAAAAACAAAA